AGTTTTGGGCTCCCTTTCTCAAGAAGGGCAATGAATTGTTGGAGAAGGTTCAGAGAAGAGTCACTAGGATGATACCTGGGATTGTCCTATGAGAAGAGATTAAAATCTCTAAACTTGTTTTCTCTGGAGAGGAGAAGGGTCAGAGGGGATTTGATTGAGGTGTTTAAGATTATTAAGGATATTGATAATATAGATCCATCAAACATTTTTTGTGTATAGCAGTGAAAACAATAGGACAAGCGGTCATAAATTCAAATTTTGGCAGCGTAGGCATCATTTGCAGTGTAAACAGTATTACTTTTCAAACAGGGTGGTTGAGGCAGAAAATTTAACTGAGTTCAAGAAAAGATTGGATCAATACATGAGTAGTAAGAGGTGGTTAAAGTAGGGAGCTAGAAGGGACATCCTTGATGGGCTAATAAACTCCTTTGTGTCCCTTTAAAATTTGATTTAGTGTATGAATTTCCATAGCATAGTTTCTACAATGGCTAAGGAGTTTCATGGCATACTTCACTTTTTGTTTGGGTTTAGATTCACAAAGCATGAGGTCTTGGAAAATTTCTGAAACAATACGCCCCAGTATTGATGTATATTGAATTGAAATATGCCCCAGTATTGTTGTATATTGAATTGAATTATGCCCCAGTACTGTTGTATGTTGAATTGAAATATGCCCCTGTATTGTTATGCACTGAGTTATGTAAGAACAAAATGGGTGGGCCTCAATTTAGAAAGAATAGCTGTAAATCGTGTGTTTGGGATTTTAAGTGTCCATGGAACTCTGGTGTTGTGATGTAATGTGCTAATCTGACTTAAAACTGGAGGAATCACTCTTATATAGTGTAGTATTTCAGTTTCCTTGTATTAGCATTTGGAGGGGGGGGGGGGTCCATGTGCAGAAAAAATGTATTTATGCCTTGTACTTGTATCTGATAAATTTAATGTAGGCAGTCTATATTTATCTTGTCTATTTAATAAGGCTTGGTTCTGGTGGACCTGAAGTAAAATGGTGATTTTTTATTGATAGTAAAATGAAAACTTATTATTTTATTTCTGTGGTGCATATTGGTGTATAAAAGACATATTAATACTAGAAATGGATAACCTTATAACACCAAGATGTTGTTTTTATTTAATTAGACACTCAATGTTTCGCTTTACAGCTTCTTCAGGAGTGTTCAGTAAAGGGCAAACCAAAACTGACAGTACAAAGTTTTAAATGGTTTAAATAATAAATTCTATTCAAATTTATAACATGCACTTGTACAGCATGCTTTTGATATATTCAGTAGCAAGGCTTATTGTTGAAATAATTAACTGCTACCTGTAGTAAACAAAAGTTCTATCAAGGTTACAGAGTGAAGTAACAAAACATAGGTTAAAAAATAAAATATTGAAAATTATAGGCACCATCTCTGGTTGTAGTTGTTTGATGAGAAGAGCTTCTTTAAATTTTCTGTCAGTTACTTGGTGTTTTTGGTGAGGATTTGTACAGAGAATGTTGGTTTCAAGTCAGGTGTTACTTGTCCATGATTAGTTAAAAAATAATTTGCAACTGTGCTTCTTTCATGTTGTTGTTTATAAAGAGAGCCAATATGTTCTCCTATACTTGTGTGTAGGGTTCTTCCAGTTTCTCCAATGTACGTATGATGGCAGATGTTATATGTAAGCTGGTAAACAACACTGGAGACAAGACACTCATCTTTAGATTACAAACACATTTTTGTAAGGCAATTGGCTTTAATACATTGCAGGGTAGTGTTGTTGGACTTGGCTGTTTTATAACTTTAATTAGCAGCTCAGATTTCCTGATTATAGTTTTTATTTTTTTGTAGATAGCTTTGTGAATTGGAGGGCTTATAAAAATATTTTTTTTTGTGTGTTATTTTTGGAAAATTGTTTTATGTTTATCTGTGTTTTCTCATGTGGGAAGTGCAGTGCTGACTTTTGCACATCATAGTCCTTGAAAATGTGTTCTATATGAAAAGGTGGATATTTGTTGCTCAGAAGAGGTGATTTCAGTTCTGAGTGTGTATATATTTTTTCACTACAGTTGTAATTGATTCTATTTAATTCTCCAATAATAATCTCCCATCATCTCAAAGCTTCTAGATATCATGACAATATACTGAAAACAAAAAGGAAGATGAATGAAGATTCTGTTATTTTTTTCATCTATATTTTATTAGTATTTGGACACTTTGGCTCTAGCTACATCTGGTTAATTAACCCAAAAATTTTAGTCTAGTGCTTCAAATGTTTAGGTATTTTGTTTGCCACTTTTTTGTGTGTAAATGTTAACACATATTCTTTTTTGTATATATGTTTGGCTGCTAAATTCAATGGATATACTGCAGAATCAATCCAACTCAATCTAAGAAGCACAAGTTTAATTGTTAAAGTTGCTACAAGAGTGATATTTCTTTGAGTTGTGTACATTTTCTTGTTTGTATTTGATGCTATAGTGAGAAGCTTCTAGGTTACTACACCATTTCATTTGTCTTTCTTTGGTTGTGTGTTCTGTGTAAACATTTATAAATACCTATTTTATGGATCATTTAAGATAATGTTGTTCGTAATGTTGAAAACTTAAGCGTCAACTGTCCCGATGTAATTAAAAATGCAATCACTACGAAAACTTGTTTCATTAATGTACAGTGCTTCCAAAAGGAAGATAACATTAATTAGGAAGTACATTTGAATTTATTAATAGGATTGTGTTAATTAAACACAAGATAATAAATAAGTTTAATCAAAAATATTAATTAATGTACAGTGCTTCCAAAAGGAAGATAACATTAATGTACAGTGCTTCCAAAAGGAAGATAACATTAATGTAGTGCTTCCAAAAGGAAGATAACATTAATGCACAGTGCTTACAAAAGGAAGAGAACATTAATTAATATTCTTGATAAAACTTATTTATTATCTTGTGTTTAATTAACACAATCCTATTAATAAATTCAAATATACTTCCTAATTTAGAAAACTGTATATTTGATAAGTAGAGGGTGATTGTTGCTGCATCATTACCTAGGCACTGCTTAGATCAGCATGTGTGTGTTAATATATATGAACAACTTGAGTGTTTGCTGTTGGATTCACTGCTGTGTTTCCATAAGGGGTAAACATATATCCCGCGCATTAAAATGAAAATAGTTTTATTATCAACATTATAAGTGTAGAAGATTAAGTGAAAGGGAAACTTATTTTACCTTTTATTTAAATAAGATTTAAATCAAATTTATCATAGATGTAAAATGGCCCTTAATGTGAAAATTTTGGTAATGCTTTTTCTCCCGCTGTATTCAAAGAATGTAATTAGAAACTTTAAACAAGCTCTTAAATTGCCATTTGCATATTTGTTTCTTATAGGTATAAATTCATTTAAAATGCACATGGCCTACAAAGATGTTTATATGCTACGAGACGATCAACTAATTGAAGTATTCAAGATATGCAAAGCTTTAGGGGCTGTAGCACAAGTTCATGCAGAAAATGGTGATATAATATATGAAGTAAGTTATGTTTATTGTTTATTAAGAAATAGTTTGTGTTTAAGAATTGGCTTTCTTTCTGACAAGATTTGTTTCATTCTCTTAATTCCTTAAACTTGAGTGGACGCTGCCAGCATCTGGCCAAAAATCCCAAATTACCCTATCGGAAGGTGACAGCATCTGATAACATTTATGTCTCTTTGGCTGAAAACTAATCCAAGTCTTATTATTATCCACCTGGTGATAATTATTAGGACATCATGAAAATAATTCTGGCAGAACGTGCAAACAAATTACACATTTAAAGAGTTAAAGCCAAGTGGGGCAGACATGCTAAATTGATTGGACAATTTAAGAACTTTTTAGTGACCTCTACTTTCCAGCATCTGTTGCTTACTTATTTAACAGTCAGTGACTCCAAAAGGAAATGAAACTACATTTCTGGTAATCTACAAATGAACAGTATTTTCCCTAGTCTTACACACATTGTTTTAAGTATTTTGAACAATTAAACTAAATGTTAATTATTGGGAATTGTTTTTTTTTTATTCAGTTTAACATTTTTTGTTCTTCTTCCTTCTTGACGTAACTTATATTTTAGTTTTAATTAATGCATACTGAGACTGATCATTTTTGTTCTCTCTTAACTTATCAACTTATTCCATATTGATTGTTTTGATGAAAACGTCACTTTCAAAGAAGTACCTATGCTTGTATAACCGAGTCTGAGATATTTAATGAACTTTAAAATTATTATATGGTTTACTCTATTGGTCCAGATATTTCTATTTCATACATTTTATTTTTAATTCTTCCCTCAGAATCAGAAAAAACTTTTGGACAAGGGTATCACTGGCCCTGAAGGACATATATACAGTAGAACAGAGGAGGTTAGTTTTCTTCATTCACACAAATTTAGGCTTACAGTAGTTTATATTTCTCTGCAGCACTGAGCCTGTTGGATTCCAGTGAGAGGTTGATTTAGTAACAAAACCTTTTTTTTTTCTTCAGTTTCCACTAATCTAAATATATGAGTACTAATTAGATATGTATTATTCTAGACTAACTTGACATTGATATCTTTGAGGTCTTAACTTTAATATTTGGACATGTGCCTATGTCACAGTCTCACATAATCCTTGAAATTGATCACTAACTTTTGTTGAATGTACTAAATGTATTGCATCTTCCTTTATGGTATCGGATATCTAAGTCTTAGGCTAGATTAAGTTCCAATACTGTTGGAACTAATCCATCAACAGAAACCTAATTCATGTAGAAGGTTTGAATGTAAATATTACTTTAATTCATTTTAGATGTTTAGCATTTTGTATAAAGCAGTTGTACTTGTTGTGTAGAATATATATTTTATAAATATTATAGATAACTTTTGAAAAACCTGGAAGTTATTTTCCTTTCATGTTAGTTAGGATCTGTTGTTTGAAAAATGTACTTTAGAAGTATTGAAGATTCCCAGTTTGCCCCTGAAGAAGAAAGATCCACCTTTCAAAAATGCTCGGGTTATGGGTTTTTTTAAAAGCATCAAATATACTATAGAAAGGTGTATCTAACTTGTACAATGCAGTTCTATTTGTTGCACAGTTATTTCACAGCATGTTTAGAGTGAACTTTGATAAAAGAAGAGGTTATAAAAGCACCAAATTTCATTAATTTGTTTCATTTCAGAAGATAACTTTTTGAGCTAACAATCTTCGTCAGATCTGACAGCTTCTTGAATTTAAAAATTTATTAAACTTGGAGATTTTTCAACCTATTCTCTTTGTTCAGTATCTCTGTCACCTGTGTAATTAACTTTATTTTACTTGTTTCCATGAACTTTGATCAGTGAGCATTAAAAACATCGGTACTATTATATATATTGTTGAGACACTGGTACTTTTAGTATTTGTATGCTAATGAAAATCCATATTTTTTTTTACTTTGAAATATGTAAGATACAAATCCTAAAGTGTTAAAAGAGAAATTATTATATAAATAAAAATGTTATTGTGGACCACGTGGTTATTTATGAACATTAGTGACCAGTAAGTGCAACAGTTATCAGTTTATGTTGTTGATGTTGTTTTTTGGGCAAATCCACAATGGGCTATCTTCTTTGTCTACCCTGGGGAATCAAACCCTGGATTTTAGCATTGTAAGTCCATAGACCATCCAACTGGAGGACACAAATTTATCAACTTTTCTGGGAAGTATAAGCATTGAGATATTGTAAACATTCCGTTACTCGGAAATGCACAGTTACCTGTTAACTAAAAGTGAAGTTATTCTGTCTGTACACATTCGTACAAAGAATATGTTTCTAAAGTAAAAACCATCTTTGTTAGAAATTATTTATTAGTGTTTGTGTGTGTTTTGTTATAGCATCGGGTTATCTGCTGTATCCACCGAGGGGGAATCAAATCCCGATTTTAACATTTTAAGTCCAAAGACTTACTGCTCTCCCACCAGGGGACATTATTTATTAGATTTCTCCTTAATTAATATATGATATATATATATAAGTATATCTTATTTCATTGTTATATTTTTTATATACGTTAGTTATATCAATTTAACATTTATTTCAATCTGCAGGTTGAAGCTGAGGCAACCAACAGGGCTATAGTCCTAGCAAATCAACTCAATTGCCCACTCTATATTGTAAATGTGATGAGCAAGAATGCAGCAAAAATTGTTGCCAGAAAAAGGGAAGAAGGTGAGTATTTAATTTCTGAAAAATAAATAACTTATACTCAGTTGCTTGTTATTTTTTATATATGTGTTCTGATACCATCCACTTCTAAATGTTTGGGCTCGAACATTCAGAAAACACAGAGATACAAAGTGTTTGGTTAGGTGAAGAATAGTGTTATCATTTTAGAGATAAATAGCTGACAAAAAACTTGAAATCCTATAATGAAAAACATGTTCAAGTGCCAGTCATGTCAAATATAAACTTAACATGATTTTTTATACTGGCACTATTTGTAGCATGGATAGCATTTAAAGAAAGTGTGTGTGTGTGTTTATATATTTTTGTAGGCTACATAGTGTTTCAGAAAAGCCTGATCTTATAGTTTGTGATAATATATTTTTATAGGCTGCATAGTATTTGGAGAACCAATTGCTGCTGGACTGGGTACAGATGGAACTCATTATTTCAACAAGTGTTGGCGTCATGCTGCTGGGCACATTTTGTCTCCCCCATTAAGACCTGACCCATCAACCCCTGGGTGCCTGATGGATATGCTAGCTAGATAAGTATACTTATTTTGGATGATGATGATGATATATATAAAACATATAACATTACAAAGATTGATTTCTTCTTCCTCAGAAACATCTGATGAAGAAGAACCTGCTCTTTGAAAGCACTGAAACTTTTATTTCTTTATTTTATTTTGTAATCTCTCTGTAGTGGTCTGTGTTGGTAATATGCTTTAGAATAAATAACATTACAGCATTATTTCTTGCTGTCATGACTAAAGATGTATTCTGAACTAGTCAGGGAATAAATTTGACTAAAGATGTATTCTAAACTAGTCACGGAATAAACTTGACTAAAGGTGTATTCTAAACTAGTCATGGAATAAACTTGACTAAAGGTGTATTCTAAACTAGTCATGGAATAAACTTGACTAAAGGTGTATTCTAAACTAGTCAGGGAATAAATTTAACTAAAGATGTATTCTGAACTAGTCATGGAATAAACATGACTAAAGATGTATTCTAAACTAGTCATGGAATAAACTTGACTAAAGGTGTATTCTAAACTAGTCATGGAATAAATTTGACTAAAGATGTATTCTAAACTAGTCACGGAATGAGCTTAACTAAAGGTGTATTCTAAACTAGTCATGGAATAAATTTGACTAAAGATGTATTCTAAACTAGTCACGGAATGAGCTTAACTAAACATGTATTCTGAACTAGTCAGGGAATAAATTTGACTAAAGATGTATTCTAAACTAGTCACGGAATGAGCATGACTAAAGATGTATTCTGAACTAGTCATGGAATAAACTTGACTAAAGATTTATTCTAAACTAGTCACGGAATAAACTTAACTAAAGATGTATTCTAAACTAGTCACGGAATGAGCTTGACTAAAGATGTATTCTGAACTAGTCAGGGAATAAATTTGACTAAAGATGTATTCTGAACTAGTCATGGAATAAACTTGACTAAAGATGTATTCTAAACTAGTCACGGAATGAACTTGACTAAAGATGTATTCTAAACTAATCATGGAATAAACTTGACTAAAATGTATTCTAAACTAGTCACAGAATGAACTTGACTAAAGGTGTATTCTAAACTAGTCACAGAATGAACTTGACTAAAGATGTATTCAAAACTAGTCACAGAATAAACTTTACTAAAGATGTATTCAAAACTAGTCATGGAATGAACTTGACTAAAGATGTATTCTAAACTAGTCATGGAATAAACTTGACTAAATATGTATTCTAAACTAGTCATGGAATGAACTTGACTAAAGATGTATTCTGAACTAGTCATGGAATGAACTTGACTAAAGATGTATTCTAAACTAGTCACAGAATAAACTTTACTAAAGATGTATTCAAAACTAGTCACGGAATAAACTTGACTAAAGATGTATTCTAAACTAGTCACAGAATAAACTTGACTAAAAATGTATTCTAAACTAGTCATAGAATAAACTTGACTAAAAGTGTATTCTAAACTAGTCACAGAATGAACTTTACTAAAGATGTATTCTAAACTAGTCATGGAATAAACTTGACTAAAGATGTATTCTAAACTAGTCACAGAATAAACTTGACTAAAAATGTATTCTAAACTAGTCATAGAATAAACTTGACTAAAGATGTATTCTAAACTAGTCACAGCATGAACTTGACTAAAGATGTATTCTAAACTAGTCACGGAATAAACTTGACTAAAAATGTATACTAAACTAGTCATAGAATAAACTTGACTAAAGGTGTATTCTAAACTAGTCACAGAATGAACTTTACTAAAGGTGTATTCTAAACTAGTCACAGAATGAACTTTACTAAAGATGTATTCAATACTAGTCACAGAATAAACTTTACTAAAGATGTATTCAAAACTAGTCATGGAATGAACTTGACTAAAGATGTATTCTAAACTAGTCACAGAATAAACTTTACTAAAGATGTAGTCAAAACTAGTCATGGAATGAACTTGACTAAAGATGTATTCTAAACTAGTCATGGAATAAACTTGACTAACGACGTATTCTAAACTAGTGTTTTATTGCTGAGTTAGGGAGAGCTAGAGCAGATAGCCCTCATGTGGCTTTTCAAGAAATTCCAAACAAACCAAACATATTAAATAGAGGGTCTGTAAAAAGTTTGTCAAAATTTGTGACCTAAGATTGAATTCACTATTCTTCAAAGGAATTGGTTACATTGAAAATTGTAGTATTGGGTAACTAAGTGTTATCATGACCACCATGTTGAGTGTAATCAATGAGGGAGGACCTCGTTGTAAGGGTAGCATGAGGCCCATCTCATTATTTTTATAAAGTGCAGTTAACTCTGTGGAGCTTTATTAGATTAGAACATGTATATGTGAGTACAAGAGGAGTGATATCTTTGTTTGGTTTATACTGGTGAATTACAGGTGACGGGTTCAGACAACTGTACTTTCAATGCCAACCAAAAAGCTATGGGTGTCAGTGACTTCACCAAGATCCCAAATGGTGTAAATGGTGTCGAGGACAGAATGTCTGTGGTGTGGGAAAGAGGAGTTGTATGTACAATATCTTTGTTTGTTTGTTTGTTTCAGTGTACATTGATATGTCACTCAGACAGAACTGGCTTCTCAAACAATATGATGTATTAATGATCATATTAATTAATTCTACATATTTCATTATCTATACACTGACCATATACCGACACTTAATTTTTTTTTTTGAGGGGAGGGAGTGACTGACATGAGAATTGTCTTATCAGCTCTACAGTTAAATTTTCAGGCCATAGCCAAATCCTTCCGCTCGTGTGGGGAACTATTCTGCAACCCTGGATCCACTGTAATCCTTCATTATACTTTGTGGATTAATGGATGAAACATTAAGGAAAACAATTTGATATTCTACTGTAACTGAATAAGTTGAAGATTCAAAATATCTACAAAGCTTTACATATTAGAATTAAATAAATAATAAAATAACAAAATGGTTCAATGATTAGAATTTCAGATGACATTGTCTTAGTTCAGTGTATAGGATTTCAACTTCGATCTTACACATCATTTGCTAAAGAAGAGTTCTGTACTGTTTAATTAAGTAAGAGTTGTGCAGATGAAACATGTTTAATTTATTAAATTTATTAAATTTTTAATTTATTATTTTTATTGAATCAAATTGAGTACCTTTAGGTTTTCGTCTCTGACAACTCTCGTTACAAAGAAATGATCATAAAATTGAGTGAAATCAAAATATATAAACAATGAGTGATTTGAAATTAAATATATTCTTGATAGTGTTTTTATTATTATTTTTTTGACACGTATATTCTTAGGGAATCTCTAACCATCAGAAATAGTTGGCCTGGTGGTTAAGGAGCTCAACACACAATCTGAAGGTCGCGGCCTCGAATCCCCATCACACTGAACATGCTTGCCCTTTCAGCCATGAGGAAATTATATTGTGATGGTCAATCCCATTATTTATTGGTAAAAGAGTAGCCCAAGAGTTGGCAGTGGGTAGGGTTGACTAGCTGCCTTCCTTCTAGTCTATCACTACTAAATTAGGGATGGCTGGCATAGATAACCCTCGTGTACCTTCGTATGAAATTTTAAAACAGATCAAAAACAATTTGGGACATAAATAGTTTAGAAAAATGAGTTGAAGAAGCTGATGGTGTCAAATATTGGTAATTCTAAGGTTAATATCTTGACACTTGATGGTTATGAGGATATTCACTGTGCTTTTTTCCCCCTGTAAATGTTTCTATAGTAAGAAGAAAAGCAGTATTCACCATGTTTGTTCATTTTTTTTTACAGATGACGGGTAAACTAGATCCTTGTAAGTTTGTGGCGGTTACTAGTACAAATGCTGCCAAAATTTTTAACATTTATCCTCGAAAGGCAAGTAATTTCAGTCTATGGTTATGCCCATTTTTGTATTACACTTAATTTCTGGGTTATCTGCTCATACTTGCTTTTATGTTTCTCTAATCTTGATCGGACTTGTTTTTTTAGAGTAAAGGTAGTTCATTCAAACTGAAAAAATCAATCTGCTAACAGCCAAGTATTATTAGAAAGATAATTCCCTTAAACTAAGTGAAAAATGTGGTAATAGGCAAGTACTATTAGAAAGAGTGGTTTGGAGCTCTCTTTCAACCTAATTAAGATTCTTAATATCCAAATAATAGTAGATAATTTTGTAGTTCATTCAGAGTAAAACAATCTAGTGATAAGCAAGTAATGATTGAGAGAGCATGTTAGGTTTAAGTCTGCTCAGATAGAGAAAGCATGTCAGGTTTAAGCCTGCTCAGATAGAGAAAGCATGTCAGATTTAAGTCTGCTAAGATAGAGAGAGCATGTTAGGGTTAGTAATAGTAGGTTTACGTCTGCTCTGATAGAGAGAGCATGTTAGGGTTAGTAATAGTAGGTTTAAGTCTGCTCTGATAGAGAGATCATATTAGGGTTAGTAATATTAGGTTTAAATCTGCTAAGATAGAGAGAGCATATTAGGGCTAGTAATACTAGGTTTAAGTCTGCTCTGAGAGAGAGAGCATTTAGGGCTAGTAATACTAGGTTTGTCTTTTTGTCCATTTATTCTGTCATTTTTTAATGCTGTGGTGGACCATTCAGTAAATGAGTTTTTTTGTGGATATAAAAAATATTTGTGACAAAAGCAGAATAGATTTATTTTAGGCTTGAATAGTAACATTCTGAATTCGCCAGTTACTAATTTTACTACAGGGTTACAAATTGAATCTTACTCATTTTTCAAGTAACCCTCTTATTAGGTCCAGAGAAAAATAAAAAAAATTATTTCTTTAATAATCATTAAGTTTTCCATTTTATGCCTTTATCAAAAAAGATTACAGCAGCTGGTAATTGAGGCTCTGTTTATTATATGTACTCTGTATAGAGAAAGTAAATAATTGAAATTTAATTTTTTACATACACACTGAATTTATTTCTGCACTTTTGATTCACTTAATGCACAATAATTCTTGCTGAATAGTAAATGATACCACCTAGTCTTTTGAAATAAAAATTATCCATTTTCAAGCAGAACAGATGAGGTATTTCTGTTAAACATAACACAAAATTATATTATTCACTTGGACCAGGTTGATCTTTAGAGGCTTAAAGTAATCCATATTATAGTGGTATGTAGAAATACTAATGGATCAGATACAGAGTGTGGACTTATTACAACTTACTGGTTGTTTTTGATAGATTCAAAAGTGTACCTAATAATTTGTATTACACCTCTTAAATGTATATTGAAGTACTGTTTTACAGAATTATTTTTAATGAAGATATTGTGTGTAATAGATATTTATTGATTGATTTTGAAGTTTGTGATGGTGTTTGATAATATAACCAAACTTAAAATACATTTTATAAAGGTGCAACCAAACTTAAAATACATTTTATAAAGGTGCAACCAAACTTAAAATACATTTTATAATGGTGCAACCAAACTTAAAATACATTTTATAATGGTGCAACCAAACTTAAAATACATTTTATAAAGGTGCAACCAAACTTAAAATATATTTTATAATGGTGCAACCAAACTTAAAATACATTTTATAATAGTGCACCAAAACTTAAAATACATTTTATAATGGTGCAACCAAACTTAAAATATATTTTATAATGGTGCAACCAAACTTAAAATACATTTTATAATGGTGCACCAAACTTAAAGTACATTTATTTGTAAGTATTTGGTCATATAAAAGTTGAAAATTATTAAATGGTGTTGTAGGGTAGAATCCAAGTTGGATCTGATGCAGACATTGTGATATGGGATCCAGATCAAACACGCACCATCTCAGCCAAGACTCATCACCATAATACAGACTTCAATATTTTTGAAGGAATGAAGTGTCATGGTGTACCTATATATGTTATTTCCCAGGGCCGACTTGTGGTTGAAGAAGGACAGGTGAAATAGGTTTTTGTTTTTTTAACTATAAGATGAACTGTTTAGAATTCCCAGTGGTACTGTTTGTTTTAAATTTATGTTTGGATTTTGTTTCAGATTTTTGGCAATGTTTATAAGAATGTTTTAACATATTTTGGAAAATGTAGTCTTACTTACAACATCATGTAATTCACCTTTTTTTAATTACAAATTATTCATCCTGGAGAAATAGTCATCTTATTATTTGTGTCAAAACCCAGCCAATTTCACATTATTATTTGTGTCAAAACCCAGCCAGTTTCACCTTATTATTTGTGTCAAAACCCAGCCAGTTTCACCTTATTATTTGTGTCAAAACCCAGCCAGTGTCACCTTATTACTTGTTTCAAAACCCAGCCAGTGTCACCTTATTATTTGTGTCAAAACTCAGCTAGTTTCACCTTATTATTTGTGTCAAAACCCAGACAGTGTCTCCTTATTATTTCTGTCAAAACCCAGCTAGTTTCACCTTATTATTTGTGTCAAAATCCAGCCAGTGTCACCTTATTATTTGTGTCAAAATCCAGCCAGTGTCACCTTATTATTTGTGTCAAAATCCAACCAGTGTCACCTTATTATTTGTGTCAAAACCCAGCCAATGTCACTTTATTATTTGTGTCAAAACCCAGTGTCTCCTTATTATTTGTGTCAAAATCCAACCAGTGTCACCTTATTATTTGTGTCAAAACCCAGCCAGTTTCACCTTATTATTTGTGTCAAAACCCAGACAGTGTCACCTTATATTTGTGTCATTAAAACACAAGTGGAAGTTTTTAACATTTAAGGTTATTTGGATTTATTATACTTGATAATTACGTCATGGAAAAGTTCTGTTCAAAGACTTATTATTAATAACATATCTTCTATACTTGCATAATTCTTTCCAGGACCTGTGTTTCTGTACAATGATATAAAAAGCAGCAAAATATCTGGACAAATATAGTGGGTTATAAGCTAATTTTCTTTTTAATATCTTTTTCCTTAAAGTGGTGAAAAAATATTTACTTTTTCAAGTTTCTGATTTCAGTAATTAACAACCAAAACTTATTAATTGAGTAAAGGCATGTTGGATGTTAAGTGAAGAACTGAATTACCCATACTTGGGTAACTACAAGTAAAACACTAGCTTGGCTCACAAAGAGTTGAAGAGGTAAAATAAAAGAAAAGCATCATAAATTTAAGAAATTTAGATTGACTGGTATGACAGGAGATTTGGAAGATTACAGATGATCAAGAAAGTTGGTGAAACAGGAAATTAGGTCATCAAAAAGGACGTATGATAAAAGGTCGGCTGAAAATTTAAAAATTAACAGTAATGATTTCTTTAAATACATTAAGGGTAAACAAAATGTTAGGATAGGGATAGGATCCTTTAGGGATGATAAAGGAAGGCTAGTATCTGATGATTATGAGATGGTTGGGTTATTAGATTTTACTTTTTCTTCAGTTTTTACTAATGAAGATTTAAGCAGTATTCCACATCTTGAACAGTTGATAAATGGAAAAGAGATCAAACAAGATGACTGAATTAATTCTGAGCTGGTTAAGAAAACATTGGTAGGTCTAAAAAACGATAAGGCTCCTTGGCCAGATAATATTTCCTTTAAGGGTTTTGAAGGAGGTTAAAGATTGGGTATGTGAGCCACTTGCTACTATTTTTTGTCAGTCGTTGAATAGTGGGCAGGTACCAGAGGATTGGAAGTTAGCTAAT